TAACAACTCTATTCTCTGTCTTTTCCAAAGGCTTTCAACAAATGGATTGAAATCGCTTATCTGTCATGGGCATTTCCAACATGCTGGAAGTGTTTCAGTACTCTGGAGAACATGTGTACCTTTCCTGAAATAGACCCTTTTGTTGGCTCTTCAGATATTGCTGGAATCATGGACATGGGCAGCTTTACCTGAGGTTCCTGAAAACTACTTATGAACCTTTTTCCCTTGGAAAATGTTACATTAACAGCCCTCCTTATGCAATGTTTGGAAACAACTGAAATGTTTATAACAGATTATAAGAAATAGAAAATATATTCTGCCCTTCTACTGCAGTCAACACCTGTGTGAAGTTAAGGCTTATTTCTTTTATGCTTTGCAATGAGTAAGGTTTTGTACAATCAGGTTTTATTTTTATGTTATTTCTTGTAATTTATTCATAAAATCCAACATGTAAATTTTAGTACCTGCAGTTAAGTCCAGTCTGTTGGGCCTTAGTGCATCCAAGGGGTGTTTCAGGCCATGTGTGAGTAGTATTTTCACAACTGGGTGTTTTGTTTGGATGGAGTGACCTTGATATGATCCTTTGAGCCCTAGATTTTTATGGTGTTCATAGTGGAAACCTTTATCCTGCTCCCTGTAGTGAGTGCTGGTGTGCTGCCTGCTCTGGGCCTGAGACAGGAGTCCTTCTCCTCTCAGAGTAAGATGCAGGGCACTGGGGTAGGTTTGTCCCTTTTCAAAGAGTCACTGGTGATTATTCTGGTGCAAAAAGTATGGAGAATGTTGCAGAAAAAATCAGTACAAAAATAGGGTGTGGAGTCTTGGAGTGATGGGAAAGGACTGGCTTTTCTATGCTTATATATGTTTGTGCAGATGGTGATGTTCATAGCTGTGTGCTTTAGAGCTGTTGTACCTGAGCCTGAAAATGGAGCTGTGGCCTAAAATGCACTAAATTTCAGCAAGAAACAAAATTCACTGAAAATATTGTGATGGGACCTGCCTATTATGTCAGTCCCCCGACACAAGCTGCAGGTGCTCTGTAGTTGGCAACTTCTGTGGGGTCTGGAGGATTTTTGTATGGAGGCTCTGCCATATGGCTGACCAGGGACTGGGGTTTTGTGTAGCAGGGTGATGCCTGAGTGTGGTTTACTCTTTAACACAAAGCTTGCTGCAATGGCAGTTGCTATTAAATTTATCAAAGAATTATTAACACTAAACCAAAATATCTACATAGAAATCACTGTCGAGTTTCTCTCAACAAAGCACCAGTGATGGCACCAGAGGAACAGGCAGTAACTGATGCCCGGGAATTCCCCCTGCACAGGAGGCAGAACTTCTTCCCTGGGCACTGCCTGAGCCCTGAACAGATTGTCCACAGAGGGTGTGCAGCTCTTAAATTCATGCTAATATAGCCCAAAACTATGAGAGAAGCCTCGAAGCAAAGAAGGAGAGACCCAGAAGAACAAAAAATATTGGCCTGTAGACAGAATTTCGAGTGTTCTGGCAAGGACGAACACAGAAATTACTCTAAAGGGAATGAAAAAAAAAACCCAGGGAACATTTGGAAGAGAAAGCACAATAAATGGGGAAAATTGGCAATGAACAGCAATCTTAAATTAACTGCAACCTTGTGTTAAGTCTTCTGTTTTGTTGATTCTCACTTCAGATTTATGTGACACCTGATATGTTTCAGTTTCTCAATAAAGCATAATCTTGCATTAAGATAATGTAAAATTGAAAAACAATTATTGAGAAAAAATATATCTAGGCATCTGAACTGCGTTCATGTGTATTTTTTCATAGTGTAATGACTGTTAACTACTGCTGACTGTTATGCAGAAAACCCCATGCTCTGCTTCATCATGTGCAAAACCCCCAAGTGACAAAAAAGATACAAATAGATTTAAGAAATAATCAAGTAGCTAATAAGGAGTAAAGGAATAGTTTTTGAATATTTGTGTGTTGTGTATTTCAAATAACAGAAATAGGAAAGGTAGAAAGAGCTGTCCTCAAGGTCTATGACTTTCTTTTCACTTTTGGACAAAAATTTAGTGGGCAGTAGGAAGTACTGGTCCCATTTAGGGTTTCCTCCAACATTTTTTGTCTCATAAAAGGAAAATTAGTGAGCACTTGCCTCAGAAGTGGCATTGGTAAACTCTTCCCTTGGCCTCTTTTCCTCAGCTTTTAGGAAACCAGAATTTTCTCAGATCTCTGTTTAAGACCCTTAACACCTTCCATACTTACCTGAAATTGAGTTTAGGGCAAGATTCTTCCATACATGAACACACACTGACCTTAAGTGCAGTAATTTCTTATGGCTCAGGTTAAAGTTTTGTCCCAAGTCATTTCTGCTCACCAAACCTTGGGAGGGCTGATGTACCTCACTGTCATCCTCGTTTATTGGGCCAGACTTTCTGCCTTTCTCTTAAAATGTGTCCTCCTTTTCACAACACCTTTCTGGGTGTAACAATCTCTGGGTTCTCTGCTTGTTTATCTTCATGGTGCACTGGCCCTCTAACAGGTGGTGGAAAAAAGCTGATAATAGTTCACTGGATTACATCCTTTACCATGGGCACTGTTTTGAGCAGGTTTTTGAAATCTGTTTTATCAGAGTTATTTAATGATAACGTCAGCAGTGAAAGTTCTGTGATCATCTGCTACATTCTAAATCCTGCAATTTCTGTTTCATTACAGGCCACATCTGTGATTCTTCTGTTGCTGTGAAACATTTGTTTCACTTGTGCTACTAAAAACCCTGCAGTACCTTCAAGTTTCTAATTATTGTTATTGATCTCTCAGCAGATAAAAGAGTCCTCCAAGCCCATGTCTGGCTTCTCTTTGGTGTATTGAAACTATGTGGGGGGCAAAAGGGCCTTTTTTCCCATTTAATAATGAAAAAACCTATTGGCCAGCACATTGAATTAATGCTTTCATGTAAGACGTGTTTTCTATGGAGACCTGCCATGTTTGTTTCATGTGAAGAGAATCACACTATTTTAGTGTGCAGGAAATGTCTGATCATCTCTGCATCTTTCCTCCCACAGCAGTGATTAATCACTCCCTTTGAAAAACTTGTATTTTTGCAGTTGGAAGGAAAACATTGATAACTGATTAAATTCTAGCTCTGCAAATGCTGCCTACACACAAATACAGCATTTACACACATAAATAATTACTTAGGTTTTAGACAGACTTGCCTCTAATTTATGCTAAAATACCTGAATACTTGGAGACTTTGTGAGTTAACTTTGGAGTTTGGAGGTGTTTCAATCACTGTTATGGAAGACCCACATATTTTGAGTAGTGGTGAGTTTTCCAGCTTTGATGATTCTATGAAACTACAGATCCCAGGACAAATTCCTGCTGGAATTCCACTGGTAACTGGCTTTCAACCAGGGTGAAAGAAATATTCCCAGCTTCTCCCAAATGCTATACCCATGTATCTCTGTTAAAATTTAGTGGCTCTTCCAACATTTAAATGTTCCTATAACTCCAGCAGAATTTGCTTGGTGACTCCCTGAGTACCTATAGTTTGTAACCTGGCTTATCTTTTTGCTCCATTATTCTTCTTACTTACATTATTCTCTTACTTACTGCTGAGATTTTGAGTGCTGTAGACTGTGAGCTGCAGTTATTTCAGATTCTGTGATAAAGGCTAACACAACAAGGATTATGTCTCAGGTGCTCCCTATGCAAGGGACTGTCTCCTTCCATCACCAAAATTGAATTTCAATTTGCTGAATTTAAATGGTGTCAGGAATTCACTGCTTCTTTTTGGAAGCTCAGGAGTGGCAGCTGAAGCATCTAACACCCACTTAACAGCATACACTGGAATAATAAAAGCTCTCAGAAACAAACTACCAAGCTCACTGATTATTGCATTGACTTTGGCATCCTGTGGCCCAAAATTTTTTTGCAGCATTTCATGTGCTGGGCAGCTGAAGTGTGTGTTCCTCCACACAAATGTTTATGTAGATAGCCTGAAATGTTATGTAAATAAAAATTAACTCCACAGCCTTATCATGATTTATAAAACCTACACTGGGATTTGGAAGCCTGTTTTGCAGCACAGTTTGCAGTGGAACACGAAATGGGACTGGAATGGAGCCTGGTTTGTGTGAGAGGCACAGTAAAGTGAGAGGGAGCCAAGCTACAGTCACCAAGCTTGTTTCCTGCAGCACCCCATCTCTTTTCTTGGTGGTCTCCTGCTCCTGGCCAAAACAGGAGCATGGCAGAGGGGCAGGTTTTCCTCCAAGCACCCTCAGATTCCTAGCACAGTGTAAATGGGAAAAGCAAAGGCAACACTTAGGAGCTACTCAGCTGTGTGTAGGGTGAGGCAAACATTAAACATGTTACTGTCCTGTATCCCCGGGATGAGGTAAATTTAAACACTTCATCTTGTTGGCTAAAAAACCACGCTGGAATTCACAGGAATTTTCACGGGAGTGTTCACAGGAATATTCACAGGAACCTGTGAGCATTCCTTAAGAATGATTGGACTTAAAATTCTGTCACAAGTCATTCTGGTGTGACCTCATGCAGAGCCAAGATTTAGCCAGCACGTCTTGTTGGATTTCCCTCTGGAAAGTTCACACTGTGGTTTGATGCTCTGACCATTTGAATGCTGATTTTTTTTCCTCCCCCCCACCTTAGCAAATTACATGGAGAGTTCTTGAATTTTGCAGTGGTTGTGAGAAAATAAATGTAATCTGAGGGCCAGATCTGTTAGGAACTGGCAGAGCTCCATGGACTTGCTAAGGTTGTGCTGCCCCAGCATTCGTAAAGGTCAGATGGTTACAGACTCAAGAGAGCAGCACAACATTTAGGGCTTTGGCCAGCTTCCAGATTGGTGTGGTCAGTCTTGCTTTTCTTCAGACTTTGGGGCTTATTAGCTTATATCTACTTGCCCTCTGCAAATATGCAAAATAACCTTTTTAAACATGGCCTACTTAGCAAACCAGAACACTCGGCTTGCCAGAATATGTCTGTGCTTTCTCTTACAGCTCGTGGCTCTGTGTGGAGTTCTCCTTCAGTGATTTTGCACATCTACAGCTTCTGTGGTTGTGGGTGCAAATCTCACAAGCAGGTGAGTGAAATTGTAGTTCCAGCTCAGGTCCTCAGTCACAGCTCTGAGACTGCAGATGAAGATTTTTCTCCACACAGAAATAGGGAGGAGTTATGATGTTGTGACTTATTCTATAGGACAGCAGCACCTCTCTTACGGCCTCACTTTCTTGAAGATGAGAACAAAATCATTTTAGATTAAATTTGGCTTGTTAGAACTGTCAGAATGCCTCATTCTTCCACAATTTCATTCATCTTCCTGAGGAAAGAAGCCTTTGCATCCAGCAGCTGACAGGAAACAACAACTAATGATGATTATTTGTATAATCTAGAAGTACTTTCTCTTCCTTTCATTTGGGAACACTTGCACTTTCTTGAAGATGAGAACAAAATAATTTTAGATTATTGAATTTGGATTGTTAGGACTGTCAGAGTACCTCATTCTTCCACAATTTCATTCATCTTCCTGAGGAAAGAAGCCTTTGCATCCAGCAGCTGACAGGAAACAACAACTAATGATGATTATTTGTATAATCTAGAAGTACTTTCTCTTCCTTTCATTTGGGAACAATTGCACTTTCTCTGAGTCCCTGAGTTCAGCTGAACAGCAGCCAAACTGCATCACTCAGTTATTTCTTCAGTCTTTTAGAAAGGGCAGGACAAGCAAATGAGCAAGACTGAAGTAAGAAGGGCTTCATTTTGGGGGTGGAAAAGGTTTCTCTGTGTTTTGACACTGAATTGGAAAACCTGAATTTTTCAGAAACACAAGAAAAATATTTAATATTCCTGATTGTAAGATGAGCAGGAGCAAAGGAAGAAAAAAATTAATGGGTAGAATTCTTTAAGTTCATTAATACCTTTGGAGGAAAGTTTGCTGTAAAATGTCATCTCTGATTTCTTGCGAGCCTGTGAAACTGTAACAGAGGTTCTGAGGCCTAAAATACATCAAATGCTGAAGAAAAAGTATAAATGGGAAATCAAATTTTATATCAGTTAATTGGTCATTCTTTTCATAGACTCACACTGTCACAGGATGGTTTGGGTTGGAAAGGAGCTTAAAGCTCATCTCCATTTAATCCATGCCACAGGCAGGGACACCTTCCACTGTCCCAGGCTGCTCCAAGCCTCATCCAGCCTGGCCTTGGACACTGCCAGGGATCCAGGGGCAGCCACAGCTGCTCTGGGCACCCTGTGCCAGGGCCTGCCCACCCTCACAGGCAGGAATTTCTTCACAATATCTAATCTAGACCTGCCCACTTTCATTTTAAAACCATTCCCCCTTGTCCTGTCACTCAGGCCCTTGTGAATAGTCCCTTTCCATCTTTTTTGTAGATTCCCTTCAGGTACTGAAAGGCTGCTGGAGGTCACCCTGAAGCCTTCTCCAGGCTGAATAATCCCAATTTTCTCAGCCTTTCCACTAATCTGTATGCTGTAGTTTGGCAAGAATGGCAGGGAGAGACATCTCAGCAGAGATTTTCCATGGGAATTGTGTTTGATGTCATTGGGAGGACTTTTATTTCCATTTCTGATGCAATAGTAGGTTTTCAGCACGTACAGCATTTCCCATTTGGAGTTCAAGGAAAGCTAATTTCCTGATTTTTATTCTGGAAAGACACATGAAGTTTAAGTAATAGGTAAGTTTAAGTAATATAATGCATTAAAAAGGGAGCAAAGTGTTTGCACTATTTGCTTTATAAATTAGTGTTTTTGTTACTTCCCTGTCCAGAGAAAATTGGTGTGTTCCTGTGCCTGAGGACATCATGTGGGAAGTGCAAAGCAGTTTTTGCTGGTCTACGGTTCATTAAAAAATAAAAATAAAATTAAAAAGCAGCTTGCCATTAGTGGGTCATCTGATGCTGTAACTGTGTGCTGGTCCCCAGCTTCCAGGTAGGTTTTACAATAAAGTTTGTTTCTGGGGGTTTTCAATTTGATTTTTGAAAAATTATTTATCTGTACTTTCTCAACAACATGCTTTGTCCACACCTGTTATTCCAGTCTTCTGTGCTGCCAGGAGGCTTTCCCAGTTATCCTTTTGCCAGAGTGTTTCACTGCAGATGTGTTTTGGCATGGAAATGACATCCACACTTTCTCTTTGCAGTCTGGCAGAGCTGTGAGTGGCAGCCATGACCTCACTGATGCCATCACCACTGTGCAGAAAACATAATTATGGTGTAGTTCCCTAAGGATCTCTGCATTTTGTGTGGTGGTACCTTCATGCAGACAGCAGGGATTTCAGGGAGGATTGTTTTATTCCCTGTCCATTCCTCCCCCATTTGGCTGGTTACCTGCTCCCAGTCCTGCCTGCCAGGTGCCTCTGCTGAGAGGAAGAGCCAGTGCCCCCTGTGCCTGGCCATGGCTGAGGGAACAGCCTGCAGAGGGAATTTTTCAGCTCCTTGTTTATCAGAGGCTTGGAATTGAGCTGGGAATCAGAGTTAGTCTGATTTGCCTGTTAGCATCCAGCTCTGGTTAATATCAAAGACAGCTGCAGTGCTTGCACAAGACAGAGCCTTAGCTGATCAGCTAGCTCGGTTTACTGTGCAGGAAAAGGCCAGAGAAAGCTTTCATTTTAATGGAAATGTGGTTCTGCAATACATAAACAAAGTTTACTCAGAAATCCTGAGCAACAATCACGCTGTAAGAAGTTGTCTCTTTGTTTTGTTTTTCTTTTCTGTGTTTCTGGTGTCCTTTCCAGTAGAGGGGTTGTTCATGTCTGGTGTTGTGGGCCAGGAAAAGAAGGAGCAAGCCTGAAAAACCCCTCATTTTCTTGTAGGACCAGATCCTTCCTTTGGATGTGCTTCTTATTGAGTTCACCAGATATTTCCCAAGTGGAGCTAAGCACAGAGCTTGACCTGGTGATTTTGCAAGCCCCAGTTTAAGTTTCATGTGTGCTTTTATCCAGTCAATCAAACAGCTGTTTCTCCTGTGAGATGAATGCCCTCCTCTGAGATGTCTCCAGGCAATGTTTGGCTGCTCTGTCTTTTCTCGTGCTTCTCACAGACCCTCTCTCTCTGACCACTGGGTGTCAGTAAAAGACTGCAAAGTGATTTTCTGTAATTAAATATACATGAGTGGCTCTCAGGCTCTGTGGGTGTTCCTTACTTAAGGTGGCCAAGACAAATTTGAGAATACAACTCACACACACCAGGAGTGTAGAATAATTAACAAAAGCAGCTCAGATAAGTAAGTTTTTCCTCAATCATGTTACTATTCTATTTGAATTAATTCATACTATAAAGAAACTAAATAAATCAAAGAAAAATAATTTATCTTTTTTTTTCTTTTCAAGCAAAACCACTATTCCCAACATAATCATGAGGTACAAAGCTGTTATATTTTACTCCATTCACATTTCTTCTGCTTTAGCCAATATGTGAACTGGAGGTTCCAGTCCTGAAAGGTGCTGTCCTCGTGCAAAGTCATCTGTAGGAAAACGCCCTTACAAATGTATGAGGGCACCATTCCACACCATTTAAAAAACCCTGTATTTTCAAGGCTCGTCCTCCTTTCACCAGTGGGGAAAAATTCTGCTCTGGATTCTTGTCTGAATGAACTCAAAAGATGTGAATATCTCACCTGAGACATGAGCTGAAAATTTAGTGACAGCTGAAAATAATTTAATTGAATAGAATGGTTAATTCTGTGTATGCACATAATAGCTCCTCTATTTACATGTCACATTTGTTTTATGTTGAATTTTGTTCAGTATGTTGAAGGTGTAAGAGCATTGGAAGAAACCTGAAGAGTTTTGGACATCTGTCAGGAAACAAGTGGCCCCTGGGAGCTGGGCAGGTATCACAAATATTTGGGCTTATGTAATAGGCACATTAATTGTATAGCACTGCAAAAATGAACTGCTGTCAAAAAAATGAGAGTTTCAGTCAGTTTGGGCCTACCTCTTTAGGCTGCAGAGTCCTCTGACCACTGAAATAAGTTAAATAGTCAAATGACTGTGGTTTTCTGCTCCATAATGCTGCCATGTTCAGGAGGTACTGTGCCTTTGCTCAAACTCTATTCAGACTTAAAGGCAAATTTGAAAAATTAAACCATGTAAATACTTACTTTAAAATAACCTATTTTGATGGTCATTTCTTAGAATAAAAAAAAATCTGCAGCAGACTCCAGGGCCATATAAATAAAATACACATTGAACTCCTGTTCAGAGTACAAATAAAACAAAACAAGATTTGTGCCAGAAGTTTTCTTTTGCATATACAAAATTGAACACTGAATTTCCCCTCTAGGTTCTTTCTCTTTCCAGAGCGGATGGTAAAATTCCCAGTATTTGAGACTTACCATGCTACGCAGTTATGGTGTGGAGCAAGGAGCAAAGGTTTATTTAGCTGAATCTGTGTCAAAAACCTCTTAATACTGTGATTTGTAGGTGTACCCAGCCTGTGTGTACAAATTAGGGGGAAATAACAGCTGAGTACTGCTGAATTCCCATTTCTTCCCTGCCCAGCTCCTGCCCCTACTCCTGGTGGAAAAGAGCTGTAAAGTTCCCACCATTGTCATTCATGTTACAGCAGCTCTGGAGGTCGAAGGCAAAATCTCTGGGCAGCTAAAATCAAGAATTACCATTATTTTCATTGTATTGTCAATGAAATAAAAAATAGCATTTTTGTTTTACTCTAAAGCTTAAGTCTTCAATGGGTACCTCCTTAAGTGTGCTAGTGAACCACACCACTTGTTTTAATTATAAGAATTTCAGTTCTTTTGAAACAGTGATGCTTGAAGATTTTTTAAAGAAGTTTTTATTTCAGCAATGGAACAAAAGACTCTTAACTGGTCTGTTGTCATTTGTAGTGGTTGGAACATGAAATACTTCTCTGTTTTAACAGTATCTAGTACTGAGAGTGTTCCGTGTGTAACATGCTCTTAAATAGTTCAGATCAAAGCCTATGAACTGGATGTCTCTCAGCATTAATGAGAACAGATAAGCTGGAGCCACTCTGCTTTTACAAACTTGATTTTATTAGACATAAACAGATCACATCCCAAATTAGATTTGTGCAGTGGCAGAGAACCAGCACATATATTGAATTTGCAGACCAGAAATCTAATATTTTTGTAAAAAATAGGTACTTCAGGCAAATGTTTCTTCATCTAAGTAAGACATGATTAATTTCAAAGTTGCTCAATAACAATGTAATACTTCAATATTTTTGTACATTGCCTCACCATTTTAACCACCATGACTTCAGAAAGGAGTGAAAGTGAAATAAAGGAAGGGTCAGACATCTCAGAATTGTATTTTTTGGGAAATTTGAATAGGAATCCCACCTGGGAGCTTTAGGATGATTATCAGGAGGGTATTTGCTGGACCTGGTCCAGTTCCTGCCAAGCTGGAATGGAGAATCCTGTTAAATTATATCTTTTTTTTTTTTTTAGGAAGAACCCCTTGTTTCCAGAGAAGGAATCACCTCAAGCTGTTCTAGACCTCCAGGAATGATAACTTTTATTCTCCATTTTAGACTGAGGTAAAATGTAGCAAAAAACGAGTTAGCAGTGAATGGTGGTTTTTCACAATCAAGATAATCCATCTCTGGACTACCCTCATATGAGTTGTGGTGACGTTTTCACTATCAGAATTTTCTATCAAAGTCTTAATATTTTATAATAGACAGTAATTAATTTGGGAATGACCTTTGATATGTGCTGTACAGGAGATCAGCCTCCTACAGTGGTCACTTCTGGCCTTATGATTTATGCCTTTATTTCAAATGTTTAATACTTGCAATTTCAGTGTTTTATTTCATAAAATTAAAACTCTTGTGTTGGTGGCACATGTCATGTTTCCCAAAAGCAAACAGCATAGAAAAAACTACTGTCTTTGGCTGGTTTGAGACTAAACAAAAATTTAATTAAATCTAAGGGATTAGTGAATGTAAAAAGGAATGAGAACAAACATAGAAGTAATTTAAGAGATCAGAAATACCGCCAGCTAGCTTCAAGAGAGTCAAAAATGGCATGAGTTTTAAAAGTGCATGTTAAACAAAACAACAAAATAGCACCTGCAGCCTCCCCCTGTATAATTGAATATTTTAAATTATGCCATCCAATTTGGGGAATACTAAACTGCAACCCAAATAAAATTACTTCAAATAACACTTTGTTCTTTAATAGAAGTGATGATTTAAATGCAGTTTGAAATAGAATGAAACATAAGTATATGGGTAAATGTATATACACGTGAAAAATCACTTTAGAACAAAGAAAATCTATCTCCTAGGAAGCAATCTGATAATTTCCAAGATAAACTCTCTTTGAAATATGGCTCTGCCCCTGAGAGCACCCTGCCACTGGTTCTGGTCCAAAGTGACCTCCTGGGAGAGTTTTTGGCAGAAAATGCCCACCAGGCTTGGGCTGGAGCTGGTGTAGGATGGCAGGGACAGGGAGAAGTGACTTTCTGCCTGCCTGGGCTCTGCCTCTCACTCCAGAGCACTCCAGGCCTTTCTGAGACATTCCTCAACCTCTCCCACCCTGTCAGTGAAGAAAGTTTTTGGCAGTGGTGTGGGTCAAGCTGTAAAGCTCTCTTCAGGGGTTCAGCGTGCTGCCTTCATGGAACAGATTAGGGACTCTGCAGTTAATACTTCTCTGCTTGCTGATGAGGTGTGGAGTGACAGGGACATGGGGAAGCTGTGTTTTCCAGCTTCCCTTGCTTATTTGCTATCTCTCCATCATTTACTTTCAATTAAAAGATTAGTGGTAGTTTACTTCAACCACTGTGATATGAAGCTCCTGCTTCTCTAATTGCAGTTGAGGAGGGAGAAAGGATAAAGAAATAATCTTGTAGGCTTGGAGAAGGAAAGAAGGAAGAGCTGTCTCCTAGCAGCAGTCTTTGCCCTGAACTCTGCCATGGCCACTGAAATTTGCTATTATGTGTGTCAAGAATGAGATGCAAATTATTATCTATAATAATTACCTGCTGGAGTATTTTGCATTTTAAGGGTTTAATTGAAGCTCATTTGGTGCCAATGTGTACAATTATTTATTTCAGCTGAAATAACCCTCTTTAAGGGAGTATTTGGCCAGTAATGCAGGCTTGCCTCTGAGGGCAAATCCTCTGAATGAGCTGCAGATCACAACACCCAGGCAAGTATTCCACACAGAAGGGTTATTTTCTTGGGCTTTTATCTTTATTTTTTTTTTACCTTTTTAATCCTCTTATTCTTTTCTTTGCAGAATAGTGGGCCTTTTTTTACAGTTACAGAATGGCCCTTTCTTTATGGGTTACATGATTGCTCCTGGAAAAAGGATGTTATGCATGCAAGTCGCCCAGGTCAGTTTATGTGTAATGTGGGTAATGTCTGCTTAAAGCCTGATTTGGTGAATGTAGCCTTGCCATGCCACCTGAAATTTGGCTCTTGGAACCGTTTCCACAGCCTTCTCATCAATAATGGGGCTGCTGCTTCTCCCTGATGAGGTTTTTTGGAGAGATCTGAAGGGATCCAGTGCCCAGCTGGACTCTTTTGTGAGTCCTGCAGGTGGAGAGACAATGGGAAAGGTTTTCACTGAATTTCTCCAAGTGCTGGATAAGAAGCTTGGGTACATTAGGTACATTGACCATGTCAGTTGTAGCTCTAATTTTCTCAGTGGCAGGCAATTGAAACATTCTTTCCAGTGCTTGGCATTAAGATGCTAAACCCACCTATTTGCTTTGTTACTCAAACAATTGTATCCACCCTCAGGCTGCTCCTGTTGGTTTCGTGGGGAGCTGAGCCAATGAGTTCTTTGTGGTGTTACAGGTGGCATTCAGGTACCTGAACACCAGAGTGACTTCAGAACATGTTACATTTATTTATGGTCATTTATGGGAGAAAACCAACCAAGTAACCAAAGCACAGAGCAATATCAGCACTCTGGCCTCAGCTCAGCGTAACTGAGCATGTCACAGAGCATATGTGGGAGCCACACAGGAGCCATCAGGAAATAAATTAATGATGCCCTGTTGAAAAGTGTTTTTTTCTTGGAGTTCACTTATGGATCAACTCATCAGGCTGGAAAATAATAAAAGGAGAAGGCAAGATGACATCCAGAGCTGGTCAGCTGTGTGGGAGTTCATAGAATACCTTAAATTCACATTTTAGCTGACACTTCTCATTTTTGACCCTCTTCTTTGTACATTAACTCCTCTGGGCAGTCATTCATGCTCATTTAAAAGCTGAGTAACAATGTCTGCATGTTTTCAGATCTAACAGCAATCTATATTATCTCATTCAAAGTGCCTTTTTCAGCAGAGATGAGCAATTACATTGCTGCATTTAAAATTAAATTTATTTGAATAGTGCTTGATTCTACAGCAGTGATATCATGGGGCCTGAACAGCTCATTGCATGTGTTCTTTCTTCTTTCAAAAGCTTAAAAGCCTGTATTATTTTAAATGTCCTCTAGTTATTGTTGTACTTCTGTATTGTTGTATAGCTGGAAGTCCACTAGACTCTCTCTCTTTAAGCCAGTAAACTTGAGTCCTCTTTATTCCTATCAACTAAAATGAGATTCATCAGCTTCAACTCTCAACTTCCTTATGAAAACCCATTCAGGAAGCGTTGCCATTAATTCCATAAATGAATTAGCCCATGTCTCCCCCACTTTTTTCCACAAAGATGGAGCTGGGAGAAACCACCAGTGCTAGAATTCTCCATCTAGATATGAAAATTATTAATTGCTGAGTGGAACTAATAAACACCCCAAAAGCAGGTTTGCTTTCTACTTCATTGTGGCTGATACTCATCAAAGTCAGTGTTAGGAATAAGTAGGTAGAGTTTAAGGCTCCTGCCCCTAGAATACCAGCAGTTGTCTCACCCTGCTGCCATTGAAATCCTGTCCTAAATTGTAGGTGCTGATCCCAGTGCAGGCTCAGAGAGGGGTGCCCTCCAGTACAGTTTATTTGTTCAGGACAAAACACAGATCAGCATGTTTAAATCAGAGTGAAAATAGTAATAATAATAAGAGTAAAAATCTTGGTCCATTCCTTCATCCTTCTTCACTAATATTGCAGCATCTTTTGATCATCACACACTTTCTCATAAAAAAAAATATTGCTAAAGAGTTTCTGTTAGTTTTGTGTCAGTAATCACTGTGGAGTTTTATCTTTATTAGTAAAATAGGGTGATACCACTTAGTCATGCTCCCATACTGCTTTGTAGTCTGGAAATATGAAACTTTAAACATATGTGGAGCAGTATTAACCTTGCAAACTCATCTGGGCAAGTGTTGCACCCAGCTCTGTTTATTCTAAAAATACATTTTTCTTCAAAGGGATTTAAGTTCCTTGAGTGCCATCCTGCCCTGCCAAAGCAAACCCATCAAAAGAGATGCCAAGAAATTGGACATTTCTTACTGATATCCTCTCAGTGCACGTTTTCTTTGACAATGGCAGGAATTTTTCTTCCACAGATGAAGAAGCAGAGCCCCCTGAAGGTGTTCACTGCTCTGCTCACTCTCACAAACCCTGCCTTAAAACCCAAACCCACCAGCAGATCCTGAGCCCTGACAGATGGTCCCAGGCTGAGTGCAGGGTGTTTACCTGGGCTTGAAGCATGAGCTCATGTGTGTGATGGATCCTCACTGCTTCTTGCTCACCCTTTAAACATCAGTTTATTGACTGAAAACTGAGGTAGAAGATGGAATTTGCCTGGGGTTTTTCATTAAAAACTGTGTCCTGTCTGCAATTCATGCATCCTTTTTTTTTTTTCTTCTTCTTCTTTTTGTGGGTTGCTGTGTTCTGAGCTCAGGGATTCTTTTAAAATGCAGAAAGGAGCCCCCAGACAATGTTTAGGTCTTGAGAGTATGTGACAGCCTGTCAGAAATGTGTGCAGCCACTTGCTGTTGTTTACATCTGCTAAAGGTCTGGATTCCTGCTCTGCTGGAAGGTGGAATACTGAGGAAATCCACAGCTGCATTTTAAATATATTTCCTTAACTTGTACTCTATGAACTGTCATATCAGGGCATAAACAGAGCACTAAATAAGGCTGCCAAAAAAAAAAAAAAAGGAAAAAAAAAAGAACTGCTTTTTATTAACCACTCACAGGATGATTGCCAACAGCAGAAATCATAATCACATGAGAGAACTTCAGGTCTCATTTTGTAAATTGATAGTGATTTTCTGTTTCTTTTTAGGCTTTTTTTTTTTCCCCTATGGGTTTGAAGCACAAGTTTCCACACCTCTGTGGTGGTGTTTGCCATACAATAGAACTTCTTGAAGGACAAATGAGAAGAAACTCCACTTTTTCTGGGAGAGGATTTGGAATGCTCTGGCCTGTCCACATCCTTTGCCTTGCAGATGATTGATGTCACTGTGGTTTCATGCAGTGACATCCTCACTTATGGAGGAAAATGGTTTCAGTCTAAAGGAACACTGCCCAAAATGACCAGGGTGTAAATAACACCGTTTGTCATCAAGCTTTCTGGGAAAAGGTCACTTCATGCAAAGATTTACTGTAAATTGGGGAGAGCAGGGTGGGTTTGGGTTTACACTTGGAAAGCTCCACAAGGCTTGGGGAAGTCAAGGTGGGAGATCACCCTTGGAGTGCACAAGTGAGGGGTGGCACAGAACAGAATTCCTCTGATCAGGGAAGTTCATGTAAAAGCAAGGTTTCTTGAGGAAAAAAGGGTATTATGTTCTCATTTTCTTCAGCAGTGAGGTCACTGTTAAGAGGATTGACTAAAAAGGACTGGTGTGTTTTAGGGTGGGTTTTTTTTGCACCAGTGACAAGATAATTGCCTTGAGATTCCTGGTAGTTTTTATGAGAACTTGTAATTGCAGGTGACCTTTCACTGTGCAAAACTGCGGAGAAAAAAAGCTAGACCTGCACTCAGAATAGATGGATAGATTGCCTGTATAAAATGGTTTTAATTCAGTCACTCTCCAAACTCTTCTCTCACCCAAGTACCTCTGAATTTATCAAATTTTCTGTAACTGTGGGGAGAAGAACAAGGTGAAAATCGCCTTCACCAGTATTTATAAATTTGCCCCTTAATAGATTTTTGTAGTAAATTGAGGATTTGGCTCATTGGAAATACTAAAACCAGGGAATATCCAGCTCATTAGAGACACTCAGCTCATACAAGACCAGAGTGCTCTTACACACAGTTCAGAAATCTCTGCCAAATTCAGTCTAAAACCTAAAGAGTATATTAGTTCTCAAAACATTAATGCTCCCAATGGTTTTAGGAATATCTGGGAAATACAGTCTTCAGGCTGTTTACCCTGTAAAAAAAGGGAATTAAGGCAAAATAAAACGGAATCCGGAAAGCATATTTAATCCAAAATGCACTTGAGTTAATTACAGTGTACATCATCTTCAGTAGCTGTGCTATCAGCACTAAGAGTGAGATTCAACTGCTTCTTTAGTATAATACAGGAAAAAACCTAATTGTTACACAGGTTTATCCCTCAAATTATAAAATTACAGAAGTCCACAGTGACTTTACAATGACCACCACTATTCCAGTTTTGTTGGTGTTTGCTACCGGAGTTTCTTGTGATTCTTTTAAATCTGCATGGCACTTTAGGTCAGCCTTTCTAGGAACTGTTTTCTAAGGATTCTGTTGGAATGCAAACTTCTGCTGCTGCAGAATACCAACCCCAAAAGCAGTGGGAAATCAGGAACCCAGTGTGGACTCCCTGTGAGACACTTCAGTTGTATTTCCTATGTGACAAATCCAATGTGTTCAGGTTTTCCTGTGAAAATTCACTTTTACTTCAAAAAGTCCAGCTCTTGATACATTTTCCACAGATTTCACAGAATATTCTGAATGACAAAGGATCCACAAGGATTATCAAATGCAACTTTTTAATAGATGTGCCATCAGAGGATGGAACCCATGACCTTGGTGTTATTAGCGCCATGCTCTGACCAACTGTGCTGATCCCAGGTTTTCCCCAGTGTTTGTGGTTCTCAGGAATATTTATTAGCGCCATGCTCTGACCAACTGTGCTGATCCCAGGTTTTCCCCAGGGTTCTCAGGAATATTCTGGTCAGTCAAGGCTTTCTGTGGTGGAAGAGACTTTCTGATGGAAAGGGCTGTGTATTGGAGCCATCCAGTGCCACCCCTGCCATGGGCAGGGACACCTTCCACTGTCCCAGGTGGCTCCAAGCCCTGTCCAGCCTGGCCTTGGGCACTGCCAGGGATCCACGGGCAGCCACAGCTGCTCTGGGCACCCTGTGCCAGGGCCTGCCCACCCTCACAGGGAAGATTTTTCTGGTTTTACAGAAGTGTGAGTTTTTGACCACTTCGTATTACAGAATATCCTGGACAAGAGTCCAATCAAGAGAAGTTTTTTTTAATTTAATGGGAATTTCCACTTCGTATTACAGAATATCCTGGACAAGAGTCCAATCAAGAGAAGTTTTTTTAATTTAATGGGATTTTTTTTCCATGGACTTTTCTAGGTTTTGGATGAGTATCTACAGAAAAGCATCTCATAAATTGTAGAATAATTGATAGTTGATGACAAGAGTCTCAAATGCAGGCCTGCCACTGCCTTGGGGTAATAGAAGTTTCATAAATCTGGGAATAATGAAATCATCCATTTTTTCCACAAACAAATGGGATCCAGAATTGAAGCTGTGAAACCACATCTGACGTTAGACGAAGGGAATATTAACATATTTATGTTCCCAGCTTTGGGAGCATTTTTTCAGATGTGTGTCCTTTCATTCTTGCCTTCCTGGCAGCTTTTTCCAATTCCAGGTTTTCCAGGTAAAGCAGTGCACAGCACACGTGAGAAAAGCAGGTGAATATCAGGCCTTTGCTGATGTCTGTTTAAAATCTACTGATCACAGGGGCAGGATACAGATGCTGTGTTGTTAATGCTACTTTAGTCATCAACCTTTGTGATTGTGAGTCATTTGAAAATATTAAACAACTAAATAATAAGGATACACTTTGATAGATCAGATCTGTCACTTTGATTTTGAGAGGATTGCTTATATTCCCAGAATATATTTCGAGAGACCTTTTGACCAATCATCCCTTGTCCCCAGCCCAGTGCACTGAGTGCCACATCCAGGGCTTCCTTGGACACCTCCAGGGATGGGGACTCCAAACCTCCCTGGGAGACCCTTCAAGGCCTGACCACCCTTTCCATGGAGAAATTCCTCCTGGTGTCCAACCTGAGCCTGTCCTGGCACAGCCTGAGGGCGTTCCCTCTCCTCCTGTCCCTATTCCCGCCTGGCTGTCCCCTCCTGTCAGGAGCTGTGCAGAGCCACAAGGTCCCCCCTGAGCCTCCTTTTCTCCAGGCTGAGCCCCTTCCCAGCTCCCTCAGCCTCTCCTGGGGCTCCAGCCCCTTCCCAGCCCCCTTCCCTTCCCTGGGCCCCCTCCAGCCCCTCCATGTCCTTCTTGTAGTGCAGGGCCCAGAACGACACAGGATTTGAGCTGTGGCCTCAGCAGTGGGTGACAGTCACTTCCTCATCAATCCTTCCATAGGAATCACTTGACATGCATCCAAAAAGTCAGCTTGAAGTAAACTCATGTGACTGAATACATTCTATTCACTTGTTTAGCTCGTTTGCATGAGCTGTAAATTTGATTTTTACGTAAAATACAGTCTTAGTGCCCTGAAGTCCTTCTGAAGGAGATTAAGTCTACCCTTAACTGTAAATCCTCTTGTGGATTTTCTCAGACCTTATAATGCACGTGATTGTCCATTATTTTCTGTACTATATGATCATTATAGATTGCTAGAAGAGACCCATCTTTAAGAACATTCTAAATAAATGGAAAGATTATTTTCAAAGTTGGTGGCAGGCATTCAAAATCTGCTTGTAAATGAGAGTATTTTTAAAATCAAATACAAAGAATCCCTTTAAGTATATGTTTTCTTACCTTGAGGCTCAGACTGAAGTTTTTGTGAACGATTTGTTGATACAAAGGTTAGATCTGGCTTCAAAAATGGCAAAGTATCTTTACGTAAAGTCCAAATACGTCAGTGTCCACACAGTGCAGCTTTCTAAAACCCTGCACAACCCAAATCAAAATGTTTATTTAAACCTGTTCCCTCCTTCCAGAAAGCCAAAAAAAGAAATGCAACAAAATTCAAACTGCAACACCTCAGTTGAATCCTTTTTCCATGACGGTTGGTCCCAAAAAAAGCTGTTTCCAACACATTTTTTACAAGAAAACAGAACTCTCAGCTTATCTTGGTACATGGTGTATTTCTATGGAAAAGTGCAGCCCCTGTAAATTTGGGTTATATGTGTGCTCTCTGTTTGGCTGTGTGTTTGTAAAGCTTCACTTGATGTGTGCAACCCTTGGGTTATGACCCAGTGGTCATCATGTCATGGTTCAGGTTGTTTTAGAGACTCCCAGAATGAACTGGGTTGGAAGTGACTTTAAGGATCATCCCATCCCACCCCTGCCGTGGGCAGGGACACCTTCCACTAGCCCAGGTGGCTCCAAGCCCTGTCCAGCCTGGCCTGGGACACTTCCAGGGATCCAGGGGCAGACTCTGGGCACCCTGTGCCAGGGCCTGCCGACCCTCACAAGGAAGAATTTTTTATCTGTAAGAAAAATTTATGAAAATTTTTTGTAATTCCCCTTTTTAAGCAAAAGGAAAAAAAAAAAACTGGCCTAGAAAATTAAAAATTCTTCTTAAAAATGTATCCATTATATTTATACTTCCTGAGTGAATGTAGGATCTGTGACAATGCCAGACTTCTTTTAACAAAGGACTTCTTTTAATTTTTAGAGAAAGAATCATATTTACGTGACCCCCCTAAAAGAAATAGAAAATTAGATAACAAAAATATGCAGTTATCAATTAGTTATTCTACTTAAAAATTATATTAGAAGCTATGAAATAATAAAATTGAACATCATCCTATATTCGCTTATCCCAAGAAAAAGTAACCAATAGAAACCATCAAATCCCATTTCACAGCTCTGCTGGGAGAGATGTCCCTTCTTCAGAAGTCTGCTGCTGTATAGAACTGTCCACAAAGTGTAACTCAACTTTTGAAGGTAATAACAAGCTGGTTTTATCTGTCTTAAAAAAAACTAAAGACCTCTTGTGGGTGGGTGGAGCCTGGTAGTGTTTGGGTTTTTTCTGAGGGATGTTTTTTGTATTGATTGTGGATGCTGATTCTCATTTCTTGTGCAGAAAAAGCTCCATAATCTAGATCCCACAGTTAGATCTCAAAGTGCTGAACAAAGGTCAGTTCTGCTTTCACTTGGACCTGGTTATGTCTGTTATTTTCAAGGAGTGCAAAATATTTCTGCTTTTAGGTTTTTGCTAACTCATTCCAGAGCTGATTTATGTAAATAACTTATATCTCTCCTTCCCTGGTTTTCCTGGCTGCCTCTGTTCTGCTGCTGGTTTTAATTCAGGTTGTAAACTCTTCAGTTCAGGCCCTGCTTTCTTGAGCATTTGTAGAACTCCCAGTGAAGTAATTCACTGATAAATGGGAGTAAAGTTCTAATTTGGGGCCTTGGATTCTTTAAATTGCTAATATATACTCCTAGATCATCCTGAAGCTCTGTGTTTATGAGCATGAATTCTTTTTGTTCCTTGCACTTGATGAAATTTGTTATTTGCATTTGTTGGGCCTGGAGCTCCTGGATGAGCTCCTAAAGTGGGCTCTGTGTCACTGTTGTCCAAATCAGCTCCTCTGACCTCAAACAGATGAGATTTGTGGGTTTTCCAAGCTCAACTAAACCTGTTCAATAACTGCTGCTGCAAGCTGCTACTCCAGTGAGCTCTGGGAATGCAGGGATTGCTCCCATTTTTTGGTGGGACAGCAAAGGCCAAAAATGACAGTGGCTCCATCCCCTGAGGAAATTCAAGTCTAGATCCCTCTGACACCCAATGGTGTCACTCCTCTGCTTACACAAAATGCCTGTGAAGGTTAACACACTTTTGCCCATCATGAAATTTATCCTGTTTTTTTCCAAAATGTGATTATTTACCAAAGCAGGCTGTCCTCACATTGGATTTTTTGAGCCTCTGTGCCTTAAGTCCTGAAATATGTGGAGTTTATTTTACTGAGAAGAATACTTATGGTGTATAGTGAAAGCATTTGGCTTCTGACTGCTGGCTCTGGTTCCACCAGTTCAATCATGAGGTGGTTAAGGGTTATTTATAGCTCTTAGACATTCTTTAGGGATGAACACATCGGCTGAAAAAACAAACAGCCGTGGTGCTCCTGGGTAATTTATGGCAATTTTTAAGTTAGGAGAAACCTGTGATCTCATACTACAGGCTGAAAACCTGTCCATTCATTACTGCACAGTGATGGAATTTGGTTGGGACACTGACATGCTCTGAGGAAACTGAGATCCACAGCATCCAGGTACCCCTGAGCTGGGAAAGGCTCAGTTACGTGTCCTAAGGAATTACGTAACTTTTCCTTCTCTCATCTTCTACTAACACAGGCACAGAGTCAGAAAGAACATTTTTTTCAGTATACTCCACTTTTTCTTTAACTTGATTTTAAAAATTAATCACACCAGTGTTGAAATATATCATTTTGCAGAGAGCAGAGACTCTGGGTTTATTTTCAGCAAGATGTTTCTAAATTCTAAATCATATCTTAAATCAGAAGTTGGTTTTTTAAAATACCATACTTCATTGCCTGTAATTTAAGTGCACATTTACATCAGTCTGGGTGCACAGTGAAATCCAGCCTGAGTGTGATGTCACTACAAGACAGAGAACCCATCACCTCTCCTGTGAAGTTGTGTCACTGCTGAGATGTTTCCTGGCCTCAGGATCAGTGCTGAATTCACTACACATCTACTAATACTAAATAGACCTTTTCTCACATAAAACTGAATGCTGCCACTGCAGGTGATGGAGGATGGCAGTGAGCAGCTTGTCTGGCTCTCAGTACGAACTGCTGTGCCATGCAAGAGCCATAGATTTGCAGGGGAGGGAAAGGAAATACCTTTATGACCTCATGCTATCCATTTATACTCTGAGTCATTAAAATGATTGCTTCTTGTAAAAGTTATCTTTGCTAGCAGAGGAATATGTGGGCAAATGCTCCCTCTGACAATCAGTGTGCTTTGGATCAGACTCAAAACACACACATTATTCAAACTTAACTTTCCTTCACTCCTACTGCGTGATTTGCCCCCAAAAGAAAACATCTGACTCTCCATAAAACTGCAGGCGATGGCGAAATTCCTGTCAAGCACTGGAGGTCCAGTGTGCTCCTCAGTTAATTGTAAATTACTCTGGAACCTGCTAGGCAAAAATGAGATTTTGTTCCACCTGTAGCCCACCAGTGAATAGGGAACAGGAGTCTATTGTCAGTAGACCAGATTTATTGCACAGTGTCCTTTCCATCAATGGAAAAATTTAGGGGATCTATAAAAAAATTAGAAAAAAATTTGATTATATTCCGCTGTGTCCAAACATTCAACTTCCAAACAAGTTGCCTTTCTGTGTGTCAGTTTTAATTATAGAATAACTTATAGTTGACTGTAAGTTATTTTCTTGAAGTGTTAAAGGACTTACTGGAGGAAAATGAAGAGCAATGGAAGGGCAGAAAGAAGGACAGATGAATTTCATAAATCTGTGGTTCAGTTCATGCACACATGTTCAGGTTTTCTTTCAATGGAAATGAAGTTACAGGAGGGGGATGATTCAGAACAGATCTCACTCTGATGTGGCAGTAAGGACTGAAGGACCTGAACACGGAAGTAGGAATTGCTCCCAGGTCCTGCAATTTAAATTAGAAGAAAATAGATCATCCTATAGCAGTTAAGACAGCAAACTCCACCAGTTCATCCAGTTAAATCCACTTTTGCTCAAGCACTCTGCAGGCTAATGCAATTCAGACCCTGTGTCATTCCATTTCTCAATCATTTCATTTCACTTAACCACATTTTGCTAGTCACTATTTGTTTTTGCAACCATAGTGATGAAATATATTTATTGGCGACATAAGCAGGTGCCTGGCTTTGTCAAATTGCAATAATTCAGAACATCTCCTGTCCATAATACTAATAATTGAAATTTTAGCAATTTTTGTTCTGGTGTTAAATCCCAAACCTCTAAATTTGGGATTGGCTAAAAAGATATGAGACTATTTATCCACAGTTCAAGATTTCTGCCAGTGTCTTGCTAATAATTTAGTCTAATTTTTTAGGTTATTGTCATTTGGTACGTGTAGTTCATATTTCCAGTGAATTTGTGTCTTCTCCTGTAGCACAATTATAAATGTAATCTGTTATGATATTGTTATGACAGTGACACCTGATACTTTTTGCACTGACAATTGATACTTAGAATATATTTGTTGGCTCATTTTTATGCTGTCATTTTCCTTCAGTGCTGTTGGAAATATCCTTATAACCAAAGGATTCTCAGGTTCAGAGAAAGTTGCTTTCCTTACAAAATCCAATTACCCCCTACCTTTTATTATGGGAGACATCAAATCTTACTTGAGTTTTATTTTGGCGTTTCAAAAATGTTTTCATCATTCTTTGATTATATTTAATTCCCTTTACTTCTTTACAAGTAATCATAGACTCATGAAAATTCACTAAATTTTACATTTGCCTCAGCTATTTCAGTATTGCAAAATGCTGTATATAAAATATACTCTTAAAAGCCCTGATAAGGAACTTTAATACTTTTAAACTGTGTTGCAGAGGAGAGAGCATTTTATCCTCTGTTCTTCATACAACTTAATCACCTTTTAATCCATAACAGCATTCCACCCCGTGACTACAAATATCTTGAACTACCTCAAGGGAAAATTTCCACATGGTCAAAATTCAGAATATTGAAAATCAATGGCATTATATGATAGAAATTCATCCTGAAATAGGCACTGAATTATCAGAAGGAAGTGTGGATGAAAAAGGAAGAAGCTTTGCTGTTATATTTATATATTGGTATAATTTTTATTGATTATCAGTCTCAAAATGCCACCACACAAAGAACATGTTTGAAAAGAGAGATGTGCTTGAACTTGATCGCGTCAATATGACCATGACTGATTCATTATTTGATATGGCTGAATATTCAGCCATAGAAATGACACAGTGGAAATCGAAATAGCAATAATTTGTAGGACTGTCTCATGTGTCAGTGGCAAAAGGAAAATTTTTAACCAGGTTGGAGGAATTGAGAGGTAGTCTCTAGTTTTTGTCTAAATATTTTTGCAGTGGGTGCCCACAGCTGGCACTCTTGATACTGGTCCTTCACCTTCCTCCCTCCAGCTGTTTGCTGCTGTTTTATTTTCCCTATATACTTAATATCTAAATTATCTCCCCTTTATCTAAAGCAAAGTCTTACACACTTTTTTCATTTCCTCCTGAGCAGTTACAAAGAAATCATTTATTAGATTGAGCTAAAGGAGTAATAGTGATGTTTCTATAGACAGGTTCCTACTGACTGCTACCTGTTTCCTGAAACCCTGACCTGTGCAGGTGAAAATACAAAGTGTGCAAAAGATGCAGTTGATGGGGGGATAGAGGACACTGATTATTGATGGAGGGATGTAGGACACTGACCATTGCCACCTGTGATTCCATAACTTGGAGAAGCTCTGGAGAGCCACTGGGGAGCCTGAATTAGTGCCTAAGTGACAGACCCAGGTCCTCCAGGTAGAGAGGCCCAGAACTGCTCTGTTCTCCTTCCCCATATAATTCTCCTATAATTTCTTTATGGGAAGTCTTCTCACAGAATTCTGTGTTTCATCCTTGAGCAAAGAATGCTCTGTAACTTCCTTCTTTGCAATTGGAGCACCTTCCATCCATCATGCTCCAAGTTGCAGCATTTGGCATTGTTTAAAATGATACCAATCTATTTTTGTGATCCTTGGCAGGGTCAGCTGCTCTTTGTCACACAGAGAGCAGCAGCAATTCAAGTGGTTATTGTGTCATTGATCTGTAGCTTAGTTTTAGAGGTTCATCATTCACCTCATCAGTTCACTTGCTCCTAATTAATTTGCTCAAACAAATTATATCCCTTATTAATAACCTCATAAGTGAGATTTATAGCCAGTATT